AAATATAATTATAGGAAAAAAAATAATTAGAAAAGGTCCTACTTTTAGACTCACAGCAAATAAAAAGTCATATAATTTATAAAATATGTTAGATAATCTAGAATTCTACCTACCTCAGTTATTTTGAGAAATTAATTCAGATAATGTAGGTAGTCTTACTATGGAAGTTATACAATACTATTTGGAAAACAAAACTGTTAATATCATCATTACACTAAAACAGTTTGGGAATCATTGAATATCACTTGATAGGTTTACATGAAATAAAATCATTGAACCCTTGCATAGTTAATGATGATGAAATTCACTCTGATGAATGAACAAAATCCAATGTGAGTCTTTATATTTTGAAGTAGTAAGTAGAAAGATAAGGAAAGAGGAAGGCTTAAAAGATGATAACTGTTGTTATTGGCTGTCAAGTTGCCTACAACTCATAGGGAGCCCATGAAGATCATACTGCACAAAGCAAAACAAAAACATTATCACCTCTCTGATTTTGTAATTCAGCTTAGTCTTGTCAACAAGAACAGTCACTGCAGATGAAATATGAGAAGGCTTTTGATAAGGACAGGATGAGGAAAAGAAGCTAGTAAGTAAGACAAAAAAAGAAGCTTTACGAAAAGGAAGAATCAGTAATACAATATTTGGAAAATACAAGGAATAGGGGTAATCTGGGGAAAACTGACAACTGAGGAAAAACTAGAACCAAAAAAGATCACTGGTATCCTGAACAAAATCAGATTCTGTAAAGAGATTAGGATTAAAGTCAGTTTGTAGGATAAAATTATGTCATAATAAACTAAAATTTATCATGCTTTACACTGGACCAAGTACTTAATATGTTGTTATGTATTACTGAGTCAGAACTGAACCATAGTTTTCAGCAGCAGTAAATTACATGGAGGAGATGGCCTATCTTTCTTCCATGGAACAGCTGGTCAATTTGTAATGCATGCCTTTGGATTGGAAGTAGCTCATGACCACTAATCCACCAGAGATCCTTAAGTACAGGCACTTCATTTAAATTTGTAACAACTTTAGAAGTGGGTAACTTAATTTACAGATGAAGTAACAGAGGCTTACAAACTTGGCTCAAGATCACATAGATACTCCAAGTTTTAAATGCTAGTTCACCGAACTCCAGAATCCTTAAACTATACCAGGGCTGTTGCTTTTACACATGTTCATTTTGGGAAGGCTAAAAAAAGATGTAGGAAGGGTCAAAAAGAAGGGTGAAAAAAGTTTCTTTTCTTATTTCAAAGGAAGTACTGCTGTGTGTTTGTAAGTGGTATTGATGAAAAGCCCTTTGTGGTCTAGTGAGAAAACTTACTAGTCCCAACTCTATCATGGCTTCTTACCAACCAACTGTTAAGTTCACCTTTACAAGTGTCAGTTTCCTTTTAGTAAATGAATTAGAGATGGTAACTGATAATGCATAATCTACTGAAGCTATATGCAAGGGTAGTGACAAGATTCAAATGAGAGGGCCGGAGAGGGCCAGAAGGCAGCGCTGGCCAGAAGGCAGCGCCAGCCGGAAGGGAGATCTGGAATTTCAACCACACACAGGACAGCTGAGTCCCAGCCAAAAGACACCAGCCAAGCCACTGTGAAACCCACCCACCAGGAGCAAGTAGGGAGCAACTGCCTGCCACCCTGTGACTCCAGAGGAGCAACTGACCGCCCCTGCTTCTAAGAGACCCAGGAGCAGCAAAAGACTGTCAGCCATCAAGGAACTCCAGAGGAGAGAGCATCGCCAACAGTGTGACCCCAAAGGAGCGACAACTACCCACCACTGTGTGACACCCCTGCAGCCAGCGCCTGTGTGACCCCACCACACAGGGTGCCGCTGCATTAACCCCCAGCAGTGCCCAAGTCCTGGCCCCTGCCTCCTAGTTGTAGCGACCAAGCCCTGTGCTCCTGCAACCCCTCCGTCGCTTGCTTCCTCCCCCTTCACCCGTCCCCCCCTTGCACCTCCACAACCATGCACCTCAGCCCCCACCACAGACCTGTGACCTCAGGGCACCACCACAGATCCAGCCACCACTCAGAGCTATCAGCCCAGCTGCTGTGGAACTAATTTGGCAGGAGAAAGGCCGGTAGAATCCTGACTGGGCTTACTGGGGCCTGACTGGGTTTAATGGGGCATTGCTGATTACCTGGGAGAGCACCCAAGGGCGTGCCCACTGGCGGAGAATTTGGTCTAGTTCTCTTGGGCTACACCAAGTGCCCAGACATGAGCCAGCCACTGGCTGGCTTTTGTGGACTCTGCAGACCAGCCAGAGGCTAGTGGGTCAGTGGGAATTTGACCTTGACTTTTTGGGTCCTGTTGGATCTAGGACTCTGCTGGAGCAGGGGCTGTTGTGTGAGGGCACCTGTGTAAGTGTCGCCAGGCAGGGAACACTGAGAAAACCATTGGGTAGGAAATGGACAGTGGGAATTTGAGTAGGGACCCCAATCGTGAGCACACTCAGACAG